TTGAAACGTTTAAAAAAATTGCACTGGCAAATGCATTAGAAAAGGTACTACAGAAAACCACCCTGCAATGCCTAGGAGTGCTCCAGGTGACCTTTTGTAATAGAACTTCACTGTTACTGTTTTGCTTCTGCCTTTCTGAGCCCCTGTATATGAGCCCATGTATATTTTGCTTTGACCCTTAAATGAGATTTCATGATACATATCAACTGTTGGAGAGAGATATTGCTAATGTGAAGTGATCTTCAGTGCCTTTTTGTCATTATACATGGAAGAAAAAGGAACCAAATTAATTGTTTCATTTCATTTTTATTCAGTATCCTTTAATATATTTTCATGTTTTGAATTCCAATTTCTTCCAGTTCACTTTGTATCCAGTGCTGGAAAAGCCCTTTCTTGTATTTCTTAATATGCTTGAAGGATCTAAGGAAATTACAAAATTTAACAGCTTTACTTCAAAAATCCATGTAAGAGCTGCAATGACCATCATAAGCTGCATGGTCATACTGGACAAATTGTCTGAGAGTTTAGAGAATTTACTTATATTAACATCTGGAATATAAAGTAGATAAAACCCATCAGAGAGTTTGAAATGTTCCATTCATCAGTAAATCCATTATACTGTATAAAACCACATTGACCTTTTACCAGTTATGACAAAAGTTTCCATTAACCGAGCTTAAAGAACCTCTGTTTTTTCCAAGCCTTTTAATATTTAGATGAACTCTGGAGATTGAAAAGATTTGGATTAAACTTGCAGTCAGCAATCTGAGTGAATCTCATACTGAAGTCAGTTACATCTGTTGGATGCATATAAAGAAGGGAAAAAAGTTTTGGTTGGTTTTTTTTCTGGTTTCTTTTTCTGAAGTTCTTAACCATATACTATTAAAGGAAGTTAGCTGAGTTGACACTGATAGGAAGTGGCAGGTAGCAAGCAGGTGAGAACTCCAGACATCCACTATATCTAATTCCTTTTCCTTCTGAGTCTCTACAAGGATGAGTTTTGTGTTGGGAATAGCTCCAAAGGCTTGGTCTGGAGCAGATGCAGGCACACAGACTTGTGTCTGTTGAATTGGCTGGTTTATGGTGCTTAATTTTAGGCTGGTGGTGGCTGTTTGTGCCAGCTTTCTACCAGGTGGGAGAGGGGACACACAGTGCCTGCCCTGGTATAAGACTTTTACACACAGTGCTAATCCATCAAAAATGTTTGACCTGTTTGAACCAGGAAGGAGTCTGTGTGCTACATGGCAATGTCCTTTTCCATCTGGAATTAAATTGCCAAAACCTGGTTTTGTCCTATCGTCAAACCACTGCCTGCACTCTGGCAGGCTTCAGCTTTGCCTCCCTGCCCTTAGGCAGGTAGCTGGGATGGGCAAGTCCTGAGGGCAGGAGCAGCTGATGTCACTAGAGAGGTGGCTCAGTGCCCTGGCCATGACAGCAGCCTAAGAAGACATGACTGAATGCCATGGGCATGAAAATAAAAGTGCAGGGTGAATGGGATACATTTCCCTGGGCAACAAGACCAATAGAAGCACTCTGTGTGACTCAGCTGCATGTGATCCCTGTGGTAGCATGCCTTCCTCTGCTGCCTTTAAAATACTGCTCTCATTACCCAGCTGCACCCAGGATCAGGAAGTCTCTGAACCTCAGACTCCTGGAAGCCATAAGAATACTCTCAAGAAGTATCTCTGCAGCATCTGTTGCCCTGTCCTCACCACCTATTTGGCATTGGTCAGAGCCAAATAGAGGGAGTTTAGTCCCACTCATTCCAGCTGTGCCTGTGTTTGCAGCCTAGAGTGGTGTTTCAGAAAGGCCAGAGGGCTCAGCCTCTCCTGCTTCTCAGCAAACCTGCAGCATTCAGTCTTCCTCCAGCTGCAAGCACCTGGTTTTCACAAAACCCCTTTAATTACAGATTTTTAGCATGAGCTTCTGACTCTCCTCAGTGACCCCCAAATAACAGAGTTGTGCAAGGTGACCTCTCTTTATTCCTCGGGAGAATTTTTTTCTGTACACGCATTTACAAATCAAGGAGAAGTTGCCCCATGCAAAACAATTATTTCAATTATTTTGCAGAATCTGCCCTTTAGCTTCCATCTCTGCTTGTTTTTGGTGGGTTTTTTTTGTTTTGTTTTGTTTTTTGGCATGTTGCTTTTTTGCCTATCACTTAAATTACACTGAGATTTATACTTGCAATTTCTAAAAGTGTCACTACTGGGAGAAGGCACTATCAGAAGAAGATCAGCCAAGTCCAGAAGGCTTTGGGGAACTTCCCTCAGACAGTGATCTTGAAAGGAAAGTTGCTAAATTATGGGAATCTCTTCTGATGACAGATCCTTCAGCTTGTGATTAGATCCTTTTGAAGCTACCAGACACTTCCAAACATCAGGAAAAAATCCAAATTTCAGAAAGACAAAGGAGAAACAGAGCAGTTTGCAGTAGCTCAGCTACATTTACAGACCCAGCAGCGGTGCACAGAGCACATGAAGCCTCAGAAAGTTCACCTAGACAATTGCTAAAGGTTGCCATGAGAGCATTTGCTATGAAGGGGAATGGGTTTCTTTAAGGTTAGTGAAGTTGGACAGGTTACAATGGTGACTGTATCCGAAAAGATCTCAGTGAGGGCTTCTGGGTCCCTGTTCTTTCCCTGAGCACTGGATCTGTTATCCCAGAATTGCCTTCACATGTGGAGAGTGCCAGGGAGCCTGAGGCAGTTCCACTGCACTGAGTTGCTCAATGTGAAGAAGCAGTCAAAGGCTGCCAGATGCAGTAGGAAGGAGTGTGGCTTTTTAAGAAATATGACAAACTTTCCTTCACTGCAGAATTTAAGGAAGAATCTTTGTCTATGGGGAGATAACATCAAACCAATGGGACTGCAGATATGTGAGGAAGAAACAGCAGCACCAAGCCAGCCAACATGTTTTAGTACTCCTGGCAGGATGGTCACTGCTCCCCAGGAGGCAGTGGGGTCAGAGGCTGGGCTGTGAAGAACAGTGGTGGCCTCAGCATAAACTTTTCCTAAAACATTTCTAATGTGTGTTTTTGTTATACACAACCCAGCAAAGGTTTATGGATGTAAATGCACTGAAAAGCTCACTGAAATAGACACCTAATCTATGCTTAAATTAAGACTTTTTTTCCAGAGGGCTTTTACAGAATGTCGGTACTATGTGTGACACTTCATTTCTTCACAAATCGCCCACAGAGCAGAGAACCTCGGGGATGTTTTACTACACTGCTGCTGAGTAGTCACATTGTGCACAGAGATGTATCACCACAGTGCCTGGTGGTGTAGTCCATAGGATTTTTTCTTGAGTCTAGGAATTTTGCATGGCACCAGGACTGCAATAGTTTATGGTCACTGTCTAAACAGTGTGATATTGCTTCAAGCTTCTCTCTGTTCCTAAGAAAAAAACACTAACAAACAAATAGGTAATGGATGGGAACTCTGGTCAAGTAGTTAGTCAGGCCTTCAGGGCAAACTGGTTTTGGCCACCCAGCACTTTGGGGAGCAGACTGGGCCAGTTGTTCCATCAGGATGAGGAGCCACAGCCAAGCAGGGTGGGCAGAGCAGTGGCCCCTTCCCCCAGTGCAGTCCCAGCTGTCCCCCCGTGTTGGCCCTCAGCGCCTGCAGCCAGACTGAGGGGCCTGGCAAGGGCAGTGGTTTGTGTATTGCCCCCCAGTTATGAAGAACCTTTGCTTGTAGCCTGAAGGTGTGATTATGCCACAGCACACTGAGTGGGTTTTGTGGTGGTTTTAGGTGCGCTATGAACAGCTACTGCTGTTTATTGCCCAACAGTAATGACAGGAAAAGCTAACAGCAGGTAGAATTTGCTCCAAATGACATTGGGATCCACACCTAGCCACCAGAAAGCCATATAATATTAATCCAGATGTCTCATTTCCACTGAATCCTGCTGTTAACACAACCTGTTAGCACCTCCACTAATTGCTTATGGAACGAAAACTGAGCCAAGCAGATCTGCCACCAATAGTGCATGAACTGGATGAGGAGAAAAGATGCATAAGGATGACAACAGTGGTCCCACCACAGCTGGGGAATGCCACACATTGAAATCCAGCTTCACTTTCCGATTCTGTTCTTCCTGTACTGGGGTGGACAGCATGGATAAGGCGTGCAGGGCTGGCAGGAGTGAGGGCTCCCTACAGAGGGAGGGAGGGAGGGATGTGCTGGGAGCGGGCGCCAGGCACACCCTGTGCAGAAGCACCTCATTAGCACAGAATCGGAGAACCCCTTGGAAAAGAACTTTAAGACCACTGAGTCTGTTAGCCCAGCACTGCCAAGTTCACCACTGAACCATGTTCCCAAGTGCCACATCTACACATCTTTTAATACCTCCAGGGATGGTGATTTCACCCAGGCAGCCTGTTCCAACGCTTGACCACCCTTTCAGTGAAGAATTTTTTCCTAAAATCCAATCTAAACCTTCCCTGGCATTGTCCATACACTAAGTCTTATTTTCGGGATCTGCTGTTGCGTTTCCTTCTTCCTGGTGGGTATTAGTTCCTTTTAAAGAACAGAAGACAGGATCCAAGCAGCTTCGGAAGAGCGAGGCCAGTGTTTCCTCTTTCCCGAGGGAGGAACAGCGAACGCCACATCTCACACCGCCAAGAGCAGCCGTTCCTCCCCAGGGATACACCGACGAGGAGTGGTGCTAAAATTAACGCTTTATTAACACCTGGCACTTCCTGCCTTGAACAAATGCTTTAGAAATCGGCTGCTTGGGGTGGTTTATTTTTCGCTCCAACGAGCAGCGAGCGCCCGCCCAGCCCGAGGCGGGAGCCGGCAGCTGGAGGTTCCCCGCCCCGGGCCCCCCATCCCCGCCGCGGGGCCGCTGCCAGGGGCCGCCCCCCGCTCCCGCGGCGCCGCCCTCACTCCGTTCCTCCCTCCGTGCCGCCGCTCCCCCGGACCCCGTGACGGCCCCGTCCCGCCCCGGCAGGCGGGAGCGCGGGCAGCGCTGGGTCCCGCTCGGTGCGGAGCAGCCATGGGCTCGGCGGCGCAGCTCCCGCCGCCAGCGCCGCTCGGGGAATGCGAGCGGGAAGCGGGGGCGGCGGCCGCCCGGCACCGGCGGCGCCCGGAGGAGCAGGTGGGTGCCCGCCCGTGAGGGGTCTGGGAGGGCGGGCCGCGGCTCCGGGGCTGCCCCCGCCGCCGGGCGGCAGCAGAAAAGCGGCGACGCTGCTGATTCCTCTCCCGTGGCGTTTCCCGGTACAGCCCACCCGTGCGAGCCGCTCCCGGGTAACGCTCCATTGCGGCGGGGCTTATGCAACCTGCGTGGGGCTGCCCACGCCTGGTGCTGGGGTGTCCCGCCTGTGGGCCCGCCTGAGCCTCGTTCTTCCCTCCGGGACGCTTCGTCCGCCTGGAGGAAAATGGGAGCAGATGTACGGGGGTAGTCCCGGCACGGCATCCACATGGATCTCTTGGAAATAACCAGGGTGCTCCTGCCATCCCCGGAATTCCCCCCAGTAGTTCAGCTCTTGTGTGCGTTCACTTGAGTATTTTAAGCTTTTAGTCTCTGTATTACTTAGGAGACGTAATATACTGTAATTGGAGGAAAACACCAACTCTTTTTAATTTTTTTTTTTTTTGTCTGCTTCAGGATTTATGTTTTTTATGGCATGGAAATGGGCTTTCTGCTTAGGAGCCGTTTTCCTATTGTTAGCTGTAAACTGCCTTTCCATGCACGCTTTTGTTTTGCAGACAGCATCGTCCCGGTGTTTAGACAAAGGCAGTGCTCTTAATGCACCTTTATTGATGTTTCATTTAAAGGAAGAAAGAACACAACCTTTTTCATGCTCAATAGTAGAATGCAGTGATCAGCTCTGAAATATACTAGCACTCATGATTGCACAGGGGCAAACGGAGCTGCGGGAGCGCATCCATAAGTAATTTCCGAATGGTTTTGATTGCATTAATCATTTTTGTTGAAATTTCTTATAAGATGCTCTTCAGTTAACCATAAATGAGCCATGTCACAGCTGAGATAGTTTAATATCGGAAAGTGTCTGGTAGTACTTGCCTGACATGACATCTAGAAGCGGGCCACTTTCAAAGATTCAGGTACTTGAGAATTCACTTAGCCACATTTACGCCACGTTTACGTAAGTCAGAGCATCTTCTTGCTCCTTTCTCTAGAAAAATGGGGCAGAGCAGAGCACATGCCTGTGTAGGGTAGGGACAGATGCACCAAGGGAGGCTCAGAGTTCTGTCTGTGTCCATAAGCCCTCCTGCAGGATGTCACAGGAGGCAAGTAAGGAATACTTGCTGGTTCTGGTTACTCTCCTTCCTGGAAAGAGAGGTTCAAAAGTTGCATCAGATCATCTCATGCATTACTGTGCTCAAATTAGTTGTAATTCCTCACCAAGGAGCTTTTCCCTGGAGTTTACAGCTGCTTCTTAGCGACGGGTGTGTTGTGGTTTCAGGGGATGGTGCCGGTGAAGAGCTTGCTTCAGTGGTGCCTAGACACACTTTCAAATGAAACTGCTAAATGTACTGCTTGGGTGGCCACAGCCACGCTTGGCTGACAAATTCTCTTTCCGCTTTTCTCAAGCACAGGTAGTGATCCTGGACCTTTCTGACAAGTTGGGGTGTAACAATAGGATAATAGAGATTTTAAATATACCACAAGGAAGAAGGAGAAAATCCTTCCTGATTCTTGGATATGTTTCACTGTCATAGCACAGAGTAGTTTTTCTGTATGCTGAGGTGCAGTCAGCTGGGGAAATAATAAAGTGGATTTGGAAATAAGAATTATCAGAGAGAATTAAAATATTGGATAAAGTATCAGTAAAAATAATAATAATAATTGGATAAATATTTTATTTTTTATGTGTGGGGAAGACATAAGGACACAAGGAGTTGGTGGTTCCTACACTTGCTGCAAACTTTGACAGAAAGTCCCAGATTCTTTTGTTCAAGAGAAGAACAAAGTTTTAGTTTGATTTGGAGGGGCTCCTGTGTCACCAAGCCTTGTAACACTCTGTACCTTTTTTGCTTTCTTGAGTGTGTTAAGTTTTCTCTCAAAATAATCCTTTTCCCCCGCCCGTTTTTGCTGTCATGGAGGAATTGTTGCTGACCTCTGCCGTTCCAGCGGGCAGGGATCCTGTTTCCAGGCTGGGTCCTTATTGGAGTCTGGTGGAGGCCCAGCTGAGGCTGTGTTTGCTGAGGGTGTTTGCACTGCCAACGCAGCCTCTGGTCCTCAGCCTGTGTTTTCCTGTTCCGTGCTCTCTCCTGAACTATGAACGCGTGCGTGCTTTAGTCATATGTGCCATGCAAAAGAAAGGAGTCAAAATCCGCTTTGCTCTTGGTATAAATTCTTATTTCTCTCATCAGGTGTCAAGTAAAGCTTGCATGAGAGAAAATCCTTTGGCCTTTCTTGAGAGAGACTTTTAGGTGAGGATCTGGGGCTTCAAACCTGGGTGTGATTTGGTTTTTCCCATTTCCTGCAAAATTTGTGTAAGATCATCATACCTTGTAACAGAAAACTAAAAGAATACCTTTCTGTCAAGCAGGACCTAAGTAATAATGAGTGCACCCTTTAAATTTTTTTTTAAGAAAGAGCACCCTGTAGGAAATAAATCTATTTAGTGCCAAACCCTCTGGCTTTAATTTTTTAATTCAAGTTGTTATTGTGTCAGCACAGGCATGCTTAATGAAATTACTGACAGGTCCATTTTTGTATGGACAGTTACATATCTGTACATTCCAAATGGATGGATAGGTAACTATATATTAAACATAGCCTTTGAAATTCATTATTGCAATAGACTGTAGAATTACCTACTTCTGTGATTAGATTTGAAAGCTGAACTGGATGATAATTTGATTTGTGTGCTTTGTAGGTTTGCATGAAAAGCTAATTACACCTATTTTAGTCTTCAAAGCACTGCAGGGCCTTGGTAGTTTCTTCCACCTGTCCTGTATTGCAGTGCTGGGGTTCAGAAGTAGTGAGTGAAAGCACCCAAAGATTCAGCTGCTCCTGAAGCCATGGGAATAGGTTGCTACTTTGACCCTTAAGATCACTTTTTTTTCCTAACTGTTGATAGCTATTAGTCAGACACATAAATTGTCCTGTATTTTCAACATCACTAGAGATAAGGACCTCAAGCCTTCTTCTCTAACCCACTTCCTAAAATAGGTTAGCCACTGTCACATTACTGCATTCTAATCTCATCAACACCTGTAAATTAAATTATTAAATAAGAATAGAAAAGCATGAGTGTGTATTAATAAAAGTTGATGCAGAAGTCCTGTGTTTGCATCACCTGCACCCTGCACATGCCCTACAGCAGGGCACGAGGTGGTATCAGTGGGATGCACAGCCCCTGTCTGTCTAGAGGGACTTAGGAGCCACACTGTCACAGTGGAGCTCCTGTGGTTGCCTTCTGTACTGAGAGCTGTGGGCAGCTCTGTGTCTGGGCAAGAATGGGGTTTAGTTCTTTGTAATCAAAATTGAAGGCAATAAAAAAATTCCCAGTTACTCCAGTGAGGCCAGGATCTCCACACTGGCTTGGGATGGACAGAATCCACAGTGCTGTTCAAGTGTAAAACCAAGGCTTCTAAAAAAAGTTTAAGTGCAGAGTTAATATGTGATAAGTGTATTTGCAAGTAGATTTATTAGCATAGACTATCATCTTTTCATTAACCTAAGTTTGTAAGCCTTTGGGATGTTTTATTATTATTTTGAACAGTGTTTTATGGCTGTACATGGAGTATTTTATCTTCTAATAGATGGCTTCAGATTTAGAGGTGCTGTTACAAAAGGACTTTGAGAATTGAGAATTTTGTTGAGGAGATATGGGTGTCTCAACTAAGTTCAAGCCCTGAACTTTTTGAATATCTTTACAATATCACTAGTATTTCTCCAGAATGGGGAGGATGAGCAGAAACAAAACTAGAGAATAATATCAACAGACCCGTGGTATGCCTTGTGTAAAATCTTCATCTTCCACTGTTGGGTGGTTGTGTGCTGTGTTGCTCAGAATGGCACACTTTCAGTCATAAGTCAGTAATGATCAAGAATTATCTAAAGTACTTCTATATGGGGAACTTGCAATGCCTAAGGCTGGAAACCTATTTCTAATTTATTCTACAATGAGATAATCTGAAAATTGTAGGTTTCTCCTGCTCACAGTTGTTGGAATTTGTTTCTGAAAGTAATCGTACTCGACAAGGAGGACTTAATCCCAAATTTGTTCTGGCTCTGCAGATAAATGAACTCTGTTGCCGAGGTTTGTAACTATAAAATAATAGATGATAATAACTTTCTTAAGAGCATTATTAAGTTTTCTGGGGCCTAACAGTATTTGAAGAAAAAAAACCCCAACCCTTCAACAATATGTAGCATCTACAGTAGCTAGGATAATATGCTCTGTTTGAATGATGGGAAAATCCCATTTTCTTAAAGAAAAAAGTATTCTGGAAATAGAGGTGAATAGAAATAGCCTCTCCTTAAAAGGCAAAATTAACAGCTCTTGATTTTCAGCAAGCCAGTGCATTTGATACCATGCTGAATGTACAGGGGTTGCAAACCTTTGTGCTGAGTCAAGCTGACCAGTTTTAGTAGGGGACCCTGATAAATGAAATCCAATGGAAATTAAATGTTGCAGGTGTAATGAAAAGATGGATTAGACACTGCATTTGATCTAGTCTCTATGTAAAATTGCAGTGCAGACGAGATCAAGTTTCAGGGTCAGTAGCAGGAGCAGGGAGTGTAAACAGCATCCTGAAGTGGGGGAGTGAGGCAGCAGATCTTGACATGGGAGCAGGCAGGTTTCCTCTCCCATGGACCCTCCAGGTTCCTGTCTTTCACACTTTCTCATCTGGTCCTGTATTAGTGGGGAATTTACTCGTGAAATCATGGGACATTTTTTGTGTTTATCAAGGGAAGCCTCTATTCTTTTAGAAGCTATCTCTGTTCTACCCATGCACAAGTTAAAGTATCTGGAAAAGCCTTTTCATCTCTTTAGCACAAAACTTCTCCTGGCATTTCAGAGTTTGTTCCAGCAACTGTTGATTCTAAACTTGAGTTGCTGTAAAAGCTGACTGAAGGGAATCCAGTGCTGTTGCTTTTCTTATGTTGTTGCTTGT